CATTCCCCCCGCCGCCATTACCTCGGGGGAGCAAGGGAGACAAAGGCGTCATTGCTGAGGCTGGGGCTTGGGAGTGTGTGGTCAGGATTATATATATATCTCTCTCTTTTTTTTCTCTTTTTTTTAATGTCCCCCCCCCCCCCCCCCCCCCACCAATTATTTTATACATTTTACAGGAACTGGGATTTTTTGGATCCACGAGTCACGAAAATTTTACATATTGGATATAACCCTAACTATATATATTAAGATATTGATAAGCCTAGTCGTATATATATATGTAGGGTAAAATAACAACCTCCAGGAAGCCAAGAAGAAAAAAGAATGAGATCAAAATCAGATTCAGCAAAGAGAAAAAAAGCGTGAAAAGCAATGCAGTATAGAATAAAATATCCACAAAACGTTGAAAATCACTCACACCAAGTAAAAATTAAAAAAAAAAAAAAAAAGAAACAAACAGCAAATGAAATATGTGATATATTGACTGGCTTCTGCTACAGCATCATGCACAATAGTTGTAACATAAACAGGTCAAGAAAAATAAGGAAAAAGATAGAAAGGTGAGAGGGGGAAATAGAAAACAGGAAGATCAAGCAAATTAAAGTTAAGTGAGGTGTTTCGTGTAGTTATGCAAAGCTGCAGAAAATAAAACTAGCTTTAAAATAAAAACAAAACATAGACATTAAACAATAGAAAAAGCCTCATGAACCCATCATAAGCCCATAGCCCAGAGCCCAGAGCCCACGTTGCACGTACATATAATATTTCTCTGCAGAAAAAACATATCATAGTATCATGAGCGTCGTGTTTCATCACCGTCCCATAAAAGAACAAGTAAGAATTAAAACCTCACGCGCCTTGCCCTTGCCCAATTTTTGATCCTTTCCTTTCCAGTTCCCTTTCCAGTTGTCCTTTCCCTTTCCGAAACCGGCCTGACCGTACCTGGCTAGCAGGAGACAAAAAGGAAGAAAAAATGAATGAATGAAAAGAGAAATGAAAACAAAACCAAAGCTCCGATCAGAACCCAAAGTTTCCCACCAAGGAAAGATAACACAGGGAAAAATCAGAGAGGCAGGCAATAAAATAACACTCAAAACACCAAGCGCTGTAAAAGATATCCTCAAAAAGAAGAGAGATTAGCCACATATAATATTAAACCCCTTTGACATGGATATGCAGAGACATTAGAGGAGAGGACGAGAAAGAAGAGACAGATATATGCAGCAAAAAGGTAAACGAGTAAGAGTGAAAATAAAGAA